CAAATTTCGAATGTACCACCGTGGGAGCTTACGGCAAAGTGTAGATTGAGCAATTAACCCAAAATTTGGGCAACATGAAAGTGTCGATTTTGAAACGTTGTTTTGTATTTGTATTTTCAAAACGAATGGATAAGTCACATTGGCGCATTGGAAAGGATACAGCCATCAAAGACATGTTCTCATTTTAAGCGACTTTGAATCTGTGAGCTAATTGTATTCTTATTTTGTGAGGTGCATAGGAGGACAGCTTAAGACGTGATAAGATTGGTATCAGTATGATCAAAGGAAGTAACACGCCAGCTAGAAACAGTCTTGCACCTCTTACTACTGAACTATGCCTCTTGATGTGTGACTGAGACTTTCAAGCAATCATAGCATGTTCTAAAAAATGTTACACAGTTAGAAACGCAGCAAATTCGACTATGCTTCAAAGGCACTGCACCGTGTACGTTGCTGCCAAATTGCCATTTGAGCATCATTCCCTTGTTCGGAGTAGTAAAACGTTGATTTCATTGGTTCTTGAGAAAATCGCCATTTACTCGGCCTTCCAATCGGCGCTTATGTAAGAGCTTGCAAATGCTCACCACATTCCTTGAAACTATACGTATGCATACCACTAGTCCAGGCCCGGAAACATCCAACTGGAATCGAGTCAAGCTGGATATCGTTCTTGGGTAAATGAAAACGATTTTACTCTTAAAGGATTTAAGGCGCAGAAGAGCGCATGCGAGCGGCATGCTCTACCGCAAACAAATAAAAGCGTTGTTTGCAACCAAACGCAATGGTATGACAGCAAGTTGGTGCACATGCGCTTGAGACTCGAAATTTGTGGTCCAAAACCATGAACTTCTGTTTCAGTTACGCTCAATCGGCTGATTTCAGCCTTTCTGCCTTTCGAAGCGACTGGTGCTTCGCACGCGTATATGTATTTTAACTAATAAGACTTCAATCTACTTCAGTCAGCGCTGAAAGGATAGCTTACCTGCACAGAAGTGCGCGTAATCATTTCTGATCATACAGTAATGTAGAGCTATCGATGAATCGCCTAGATACTTCGAAACTGTGTGCAAGCTGATTTTAAAATTCTGCCATCCAAAAATGGGCGAAAGACGGAGCAAGAGGTCGTAGGGTCGTAGGGTCAAACCTTTGTCATCCTTCTCTGGGGCTCTGTGTTTTACCATAAACTCCGGTCATGGAGTGAAATTGTTTAGTTTGGATAAAGTTCTATTCTCATTGAGTTTGACAAACAAGATTTGTTCGAGGACTTTACTGAGGAAACTTTTATTGTGTGCTGCATCATATTACTCGTAGATTTTCTGGTAGAACCGAATTTTCCTGAATGATGAAGGTTATGAAATATTGAGGGATGATTATCATATACTTACGCATCCAAGATGCATACGTTGACAGCTAAACATTGCCTAGGTGATCTTCTGGAAGTACAGCCAATCTTGGTGACTTTGTTGTAAGCCATCTAAATTGTTTGTTTTGGAATATATGCAGCTGGAAGAGAAAGTAAGATATGCGCTTCTTACAGTTGCAAAGTTCTCGAATCTTGTGGTGAAATGGTTTGGTTCATCATCTAGCTCTTTGTTGTCCCCCATCTGTCCGGCTGCTTCCCACCATTTTTCCAATGTTTCCTCAAAGTCCACTTCGTATTCGTAGTCCATTACGTAGAATGAAGACAGTTCTCTGAAACAGTTCTTTTTTTACACGACGATTGTGCCTCAAAGTCATTCTTACTGAATTCCCTCAAGAGCACCATAGGGTAGGTGGTCGGTTTTGACTGTGCCATTTGCCATAGCATCCTCAGCTACTTTCTCCAGTTGGCAGTCCCATTTCTGAAGGGCAGTAATTATATTTGAACTTTAGGACAGCCTGCTTTGGAAGCTAATCACTGACCAATATTGGCATTTTATTTACGTTTCCTCTAGGAAGCTTTCCACCCGTATCTCGGTCAATTTCACCCCTGAC